AGACATGGTATGATGCTACTCTGGTTTAAAGATTTAATAAATTTTGAATGGCCGTCAAAGTTGTTCAAAAACCTTTTCAGACTTTAGAGCATATTTTTGCCAAACCTAAGGATCCTGTCACGAAAGAACAACGAACCGACGCTATTTATTCCATTGCGTGCAATAACTCTGATCACGAGTTTGTCGAACCGACCAAACGTCAGCTTAGTAGACGTTTGGAAGAGTATCAGAAAGTGTTCTTCTTTGGCAAAAAAGAAAATTCAGCTTTGTCGGAGCGCACATGCCTAACTAATCATCCAATTGGGTGGGATAATTCTGAAATTACTATCAGCGCCTTTGATTGGAAGCCTGGCATATCAACTCCGCCCATGCTCCTTTAACTCGTGATGATGGCGGCTTATTACCTCAAGGCCATTTACACCACGTCAGAAAAAAGTGCAGCTAATTAGTAATCATTTATAAGGACCTCTTGTTGCAGCGATTAGATCACTGATGAAGGCACGACTAGGAGTGTCGAAACGTTGGGTCTATGAATTGTAACTTTTCGGTTACATTCATTAAATCTTTAAACCAGAGGAACATCAAACCATGTCTGGTCACTAAGTTACTCAAGAATCCAGAGTAGTTCGGGCTCCCGGCTTATGCCTGGGGTATTAGAGCCCCCACATAAAATCCCTGGGGTAAAAGGCTAAAATTAACTCGAAAAATGCACTTCCAACGAATCTCTCTCACTCTAACCGAAGGCCATGGATTTTTATCTTATTTTGTCCAAGGGTTGTTTGAACCTTGAGGCAACAATTCCTTGAAGCTGGGATAATTTGATTTAACTTCTACCAATTAAGAGCAGTTAATCATTAACGGCGTCACGCAACTATTCCAAAAAAGAAAAAGATAGGGTTTTTTAATTGCAAATATCTCCAATGGACAACATTGTATGTCGACAAATATACTATCACAAGAAAAAACTATAAAACAATTTTGGGTCATAAACTGATGTTCATTCGCTCAATTTCAGTTTGAGAATGGGATCATAAACGCCTCTTTTACTCACGCTGAAGGTGATGATTCCGTAGGTTACGACTCGATTCAGGAAATTGGGCTTATTAAAGGCTGATAGCCTGCTCAATGCACCATAATTTTTGTTTCTTCAGTGGGAAACTTTGGAGAAGACTCCATCGAATTTAAGGTACATCACAGGAAAGTTGTTCCTGTTTGACCTTGTAGAGTAGAATAGAGTAGAATAGAGTAAAGTAGTCTATATTTACTTTCCTCTGCGGAGGCTATTCTGAATTAATTATAAAACTTTGCGGGGGACTTTGACTAGACTGCGTTGAAGAGTTTGCAATTTTTGGGAGGAATTGTTGCCATTGCCCCCGAAATCGGAATTAAGGCCAAACCATAAGAGCGTGAGCTACGTTCTCTTCTCTTCACAAAAAGTGCGTTGGTTGTTTAACTTCTCTAGCTGACCAGTTATGGCAACTCGGGGCTGAGATGCTGCGGCATGAAACCTCCCAAAATCCATAGCTGGCTGGCTAAGTGGCTGGATTACTTTTATCACATGACCGTACGGCTTTTGCGAGCGCAATCCTTTAGAAAACTATAATAAAAACTTTAATATGAGCAGGTCCGGAAAAAGCCGTCCTGGCCTTGCACTAACACAATTTTGCTGCAAAAACTTAAAGGAAAAAGGAAAATCGATAAAAAAGTCGCGTTTTTCGTTGAATTATGTGTCTTTCTAGCTCCATCTTAAGAAAACAGGGATGAGTTTGTATTCTAGAATCGTTTTTTGTGGTTTTCCCGCGTGCACCCGTCTATCGCGTCCTATTTAGGTTGAAACAAAATTTTCGAAATTTTCAGCATTTAGCGGTCATATAATTAAATGCTTATTGACCGAGTTTATACGAGCTAGACAGGAAAATATTTTGCACTCGGTCATATTTGGCACGTCGCTGCGCTCGGTCTGTACGTCATGATTTCGAGCCAAATATTTTCCGTCTGGCCCTCACACTTAGTCAATAAGAACATATTTTTTCTTTTGGAACTCATGAAGAACTATATCTTTGAGACTGACCCAGTAAAAAAAATGCCCTTTCCCACACTGTACACTTTCCAAGCTCTCGTCCAAACAGACTCAAAAGAAAATTTGTTCAATGCTTTGATGCCAGCCGTGATGTACCTCCTCATATTTTGGAAAGAGTCTTCAATTTTTGCAACAGTGGATGCAGCCTCTTGTCTCGGAAAAGAAAGACATGAGCAACACCACCTCTAAGCTTATTGCCACTGTAGAGATAAAGCTCCAATACATAAAACAGCCTAAATCACCATCATTCAAACCCTTTGAAACTAAGTTGAATCCTTGGTTCGTTTTATTGTGTACGTTTGGTGATGATGGTGTTCTGGGTCCTCCAAAGACTTAAAGTGCAAAAGTCCTAACAATCTCATCAAAATTATAAGTGTTTTTGCATTTAAAAAAGCTTAGCAAAATACGCATAAAATGGAAAAGCGTACTATCAAAAAATAGCACTGGGATCACAAAATATTGCAGAAAAAGGAGTTGTGCTTGTGGCTACGCAACTCGGTTAATCCAAAACACTATCATCATTACTAGATTAAAGTTTTTATAGCAAAAATTTTCAAATAAATTCTGAGACATAGTAGAATCTAATTTTGAGTTTAATGATAAAAAAATCAAAATCAAATCAAAATCCACAAAAATGCTATATTTAAATCCCTCAAGATGAATTCGTGCTGGAGTTTAGTTAATTACGTCACTTGTAAACATTGACTACTTCGTAAATATAATAAGCCAGAGATGGTAAGTTTTGAGCTCGGTAAAGAAATAGAGGAAGATGTTTTTCGTCTTGTCACGAGCATGGGACCAAGAAAAAAAATTCTGAGTCTTCATGAGGTTCGATTCCTCATGAGGACTCAGTTTTTTTTTTCCTTTATCCCACGCTCGTGGCAAGACGAAAAACAACTTCCTCTATTGACTACTTCTTCAGAACAAGTCGGTCCCATACTCTTCTCCTTGTTTTCCAACTGAAAACACAATTTTTTTGGTTTTTGTGAAAGTGTTGTTGTGATTGTTTACAATACAAGGATCTATTTTCATTGTCGTTCAGAGTCAGTGGGAAAAATTTATGCTCAAAATAAATTCATACAACGTCTCATTGGCTTTGTGTAATTCAATTTTTTTCTGGGGAATGTTTTATTCCTCTTAATAATAGTTTGGCCCATTATGGAAATGGTTACACTGCACTCCATGCATTATACAATGTCCCTACCAATTACTTCGTGAAATGTGCACAATCTGTCAATGACTTTTTGATATTGTAGACAAAGGAAAAAAGCACACGCTACAACCGCGAACGTATTGCGGGTAGGTATTAGCCCTTGGTTCCTTGACCTCAGGATTTCAGGGAAATCTGAGAAAGCGTCACTGTGAGGACGGAGTCATCGCGATCTCTTCTTGTTAAGAGGATGATGAAAGCGCGGTCTCAAGCGCACGAGGTTTAAAATTCAACGAAATTTGCGAAGAAAAAAAAGGCTGGCATTTAAAAGTGAGGCATTTTCTTGTAGTTGAAGGCATTTTCCTATTACAGGTGTTTTTACGGAGAAAATTAAATTTTGAAAACATTTAGGGGGTGTACAAAGTTTTTAGAGGTTGCTCTGTAAAAGAAAAACGTAAAGGGAATCAACGCCTAGAGGCAACATCACGGAAATTCAAAAAGGCAAACGACGCAAAATCCATTACCGCGCCAATCAGACAAAAGTCCCCTTTGTTCTCAAAATCCGTTTCCGAAGACGTTTTTAAGCTCTGTTGGCGGATTGTGCATATATTATCTTTGTTTTAGAAGCTACTTTGGCCCGAGTACTGGGCCATCAAATCTGTCTTACCACCAATCTAAGAGATACGTACCATTCAGACTGTCATCATTGATACTGAGAGAGGGGTAGTCAAAACGTCGAATTATCCAAAGATCATAGTATTGCACAGAAAAAAAATTATGATAACTTTTTTTTCTAATGGAAAGCCCCTCTGAAAACCATCTGATACTGTCTAACTTATTCTCTCACTAACGATGAATCACAAAAGGACGGATGGACATACCTCTCCTCATGGGTCACTACCTACGCACGCGCTTTACAACTCACCCTTAAATTGAGATAGGTGTTTCTTGATCGTGTGGCCAGTTTTATTTTGTGTCTTGGGGTGAAGGCTGTGTTTTCGATTTGACAGAACGCAAAAGTGTGTAAGTTGTGTACAATGTATCGTCCTTTCAAGAACCTAAACTTTTTCAAATTCTTGATTTGGCTGAGTTTGCTGTTCTCCTAACATTACGTTCGTAAGATATCAGTTTGATTGATTTTATTTGCGATTCGCCTGCTTGTGAACTCAGTCACATTAATGTTAAGTAGGCTGTTGACATTTACTTGGCGTTCCTGGTTGTGCTTCAATTCGCTCGCTGATTGTTTTAACTAATCACAGTTTAAACATTCTTGTTTTCTCGCGCTGAACCCATTTTCACTGCTCGTTTACTTCTCGTGATATTTTCCATTTTAGATTGGCCGACGTGAGTTTGGTTTCACGATGATCGATCGCAAACCTCTCTGTTCCAGTCAAGTGAAAGAAGAGGTAGGAGCCTTCTGTTTCCTGTATTTCTTTTGTTCCAAGGCGACTGTTTTCGCTCGAAGCACTCTTTGTATTACTGTAGACATTTGTTCAGATCATCTTGTAACTAAAGTAGCTTCTCTTGATGGCATTTCCCACAACACTCCTTAAGTTTGTCCATCACATCCTTCTTTGCCTTTTAGGTTTGATGGAGCGTTTTCCGCAGATAGCTTTTCTGTGTGTAAGTTCTTTTTTCTTCTGCTAACCGGTATTTGTCTGTTCCGCTCATTATTCACAGTCCAGGGTCCCAAACTAGCGTTTGCGTAAAAATCCATTGGGTAATTTTCTTGCCATTCGATTTGTTCAAGCACAACTGACGCCTGTAAATTAAACGAAAAAAATTCCAATAAGAACATTTTTCAACTGACTGAAAAAAGCAAACCACTATACTACTGCTTTTGCTGTTTTTCGTACTATGATAGGTCTAAATACTTACGTCACTCTCTCATCCAATCGGAAAAAAACTAAAACGAATCTACACTATTTTCAGTGAGTGTCCAAAACTCAAAACCAAATTAATCACAACTACCAATCTGAACAAAGGTTAACATCATCATTAATCAATGAGAACTCAAAGTAAAAACAGGCAACGTGCCTGAAGCGCGGGAAAACGCGAGTCACCAAGTCGTGATTGGTTTTAGTTTTGTATCTGATTAGTTGAGATGGTGGCGCGAGTTTTTTGGACCAATCACAGGGTGAAAGGAAGTAAAAACAAAGCTATTCCAGATCGCTTTTCGACACCCGGTGGAAAATGTCTCTACCCGCGCTTACTTGCATTTTGTTGTTAGTCTCGAAATTGAAACTATTTGATTCGGTTTCTGTATAAAAACGAGAACCGTCAAGTTCCCGGTTTGTGTTATGCATCTGAACATTTGTGTTATGCATCTAAACATTTGTCTCCCGCAGATGACATGGACCTTACCTTTCAAGATATTTGTTAACATGCTCAACTGGATTTGATAGTAATGAAATTCAATTATTTTACCTCATGAGGCGACAGAGGTAAGTAGAGGTTTAGGAAAAGCGTAGCCACAGTCAATGGACAATCGTGGACAAGCCACTTGCACCCATCTACAAAGTGACAAAGAAATATCAGTAAACCTTGGAAGCTAA